TCCTCATGCCACCCAAGCAAGTAACCTCGACGTAACGTACTCCCTTTGCGGTCTCTTCCGTATAACCATTCCACCGTAACCCAAGCGTGAACTTTTGGAATGCCATATGCAATAAAACAGTAACTTAATTAATACCATCAAATTTGGCAAAGCAAACTCACAATAATAAGTAATACGAAACAAACTTAAACGTGATGTTAATCGCTATAATTCAAACACAATTCGCTAAAACAAAAACTTAAAGAAGAATAGGAAGAGGAGGTGAAGTGTTGAGTTCTCCGGGGGCTTCCTTTTATAGGCAAAATCTCATTTGAAAAGTGGTTTGCAAAAGACATGCAACCCCACCCTGCAATCCCTTGCATGCCAACATTTAACCTGTCGGGAAAGTGGGGACTGCAGCAAGACCCCCCCCCCCCCCCCCCCCAAAGTGGTTTTGGTTGTCGACCTAAAAAATCTCTTGTGGAAGGAGAGGTTACCTTTTGCAACCAAGAACCGCTCCTTCAGCAAGCGTTCTTATCTAGAGCAACCGATAAACCGCATTGGAGAGGAGCGTTTTGCTGCCAATTCTAAAATTGCTTTCTCTACATGCGGTTTAATTGAAAACCGTCTCCCCCTGCGGCGGTTCTCAATTAATGGTGGTCGTTTTGAAAATTTTGAGGGATGGGTGGTATTTTTGTAATTTTTTTAAATGGTGGTATTTCTGGAAAAAAATCCCCTAATGGCTAAATGTGTTGGATCAGAGGCATGAGAGCGCAAGCCTTGGTTCGACGCACGCCATTGTTGATATTTTTTAGTTGTTTTTTATTTTAGAAGGAGAAGGTGGCAGGAGGGTTTAATTTAAACAAAATAGAATTAGATTAGGAAATTTTGTGATTGGTGCTCCTGAGTTGGGATTAGGGTATGGCGTTTGTGGGTGATTTGGATATGAATTTATGACTTTGAGATTTGGGGGATGATGGTTGTGTTCATCTCAATCTGGTGTTTGAGGTTTATTTGGTGTGATTTTGTGGTGAATGAATGGTTTGGGAGCTTAGAGGGTTGGGATTATTTGGTGAATATGTTTTTATTTCATTCGGATGATGATGAGATTTTTATCTATGCGCTATAAAATAAAGGAATGGTAGATGCTAAATAGAATCATAAGTGGTTTGGAAAAGTATCACGAGTAGATGATAAGTAAGTAGCAATAAATATAATATTTAAAAATATAATCTTAATGTATAAGTAGATAATTATAGGCTAATATGACTAATAATACTAAAGCTGAGGGCTACTTTTGCGGGACGATTGAGTAGAACAGATCAGGGTGTGGAATGCGAGGGAGTAGCAATGGCCACATTCCAAACTAGCAATGTGTGGCAGAGCATTAGGCCACGAGGGGAGGTAGTAACATGGTCAAAGTTTATTTGGAAAGAAGGTATACCAAAGAACTCATTAAAAACATGACTTATTTTGTTGGGGAGTATCACAACTTTGGACAAAGTCCAGAGGTGGAATGCTTAGGTGAATACTTGCTGTCCACTGTGCAGATTGGAGGCAGAATCTTGAGAGCATATATTTTTCCAATGTATGTATATGCATGAGGTATGGAGAATCCCAGTGTCTTGGCAGGTCCCTATTGAAGCTAGATTGCAGCAAGCCGTGGTGATAGCAAACCAGCACTTGATTAAGTGTCAGGTGGGAAGAATTCTTTGGTGTTTAGTGCTAACTGAAGTCTGGAGGGAGAGATGTTACAGACTCTATGGCAGGAAGCAGCTCTCAGTAGGGGATTTAGTTAAGAGAATGCAGGTTGTTATGGAAGCAAAAGAACTAGGTGACCAAGGGTTTGCTGTATCGCCAACTGCTCAAATCCTTTGGTATAAACCTCTCTAATATTCACTGTATAGTAGTAGTAGGCAAAAAGAACTAACTAGATTGCAGCTGAAGGTTTTGTAATTGTATAGCTATGTAAAGATCGTATGGATGAATAAAATCCCACCCATTCATCGAAAAATAGAGTAAATCTGCTTGAAATAAGTAAATAAAGGAACTAGAAATAAAATAAAGCTGGATGGAAAAGCTGACAAAGTAAATGAGATTTGATAAATCTGGATTGATAAGTTGTGATTTATTTTTTAAAAAAGTTTGTTCATATTGTAGTTTGATTGGAGTTGATTGATTTTTCTTCTTAGAAACCCTTGCAGGATTTAGATTATTATGTGGCAATAATAATAATGGTGGTGGTAATGACAATAATAAAGAGTTACCTTGACAAGAAGAGTAAAGTAATAACTGGGAAGAAAAGAGCAATAAAGGAAGCCATGTCCATGTTATTAAGAGTGGATTAATGATTAACCTTGATTTGAAGACTTTTTTGTGCTTTTGTTGGCTTGGTAACCTTTTGCTTCTATTACAACGAAAATGAGCTATTACAACAAAATGGAAAAGGAAGGAAAGTTCTTGTCTCTCTCTATTTTTCCAGCGTTTACCTTCCCTCTTGCCTTACTGGGAAAAAAGAAATTCTAAACTGACTAAGAAGAGAAAGAAATTAAAGTGAAGGTGTTTCCCTTCTGAAAAGTTGTCCCCCAATGATGAGAATTGAGCCTTCTTTTATAGAAAAAATGAGGCAGTGGTGTCTATGTTTGGTCGGACCCATTGTGCTTCGACCGGTATGTTGGGTTGGGTTGCTTCTGAGCTGGCCGGACCGCTCTTGACCATGTGGGCTTGTCTTGGAGTTGGGCTCATTCAGACCTGGGCCGAGGTGGGTTCCTTTATATTGGGCCTGGAGTTTGGACTAACTGGTCTTTCTTCTTTGCTTTGCAGATCCAAGGTTGATTTGCTTTAAAGGAGATGGTGGATCAAGCCTGAAACTTATTGAACACTTGTAGTTCTCATGTAGTAATTCTGATTTGTAATTCTGATTGTAATTTATGTAGTAATTATGATTTGTAATTCTGATTATATTAATTGTCAATTAGTAATAATTTCAAAAAAACGTGCTTCTTTATTATTATCTGTGTTGTGCCAAAAGCGGAGACTGGAAGCCAATTGATCCTATTGGATCCACTCGAATCAAATTTAAATAGATTGTAGAATCATTTGTATTATAGTTCACAATGGCCAATCTAATTATCTTACGATATTTCACGTTTTAATTTCAAAAATTCTAGTCGAGTAATTGGCCCCATGAAAACTTTCCTCGTGATGAACTTCCTTGGTTGTATCCGATAGATGCGGTGGAAATTTTGTATAATTTGCACCACATTCTTTATTTTATAAGGGTGAAATAATATTATTAATGGAAAAAAAAAGAAAATTAAAAGTATGAATACACAACCAGCAAAAACTGCTGCAAAAAACACCCTCCAAGCGCGCCAACAACAGGTAGCAAAACCAAACGCAGCTGAAAACATGAAGGTGCTCACAAACACCTGAAACACGAAGCTCCCAATCAAGTTACAACCAAAACAACAGATGTCCACGAAACTCTCCCCTCAGAGAAGTTGATAGCATCAAAAAATCGGAAGTTAGGCAAATCAACCGCAACATCGACCCTCGGAAAATCTTCAACAAGCAGCCTTCCCTTAATGCACACATTGTGCCATAGAGAGACACTAGATCCAACACCCGCTTCAACATACGCAAATCTCCAAAAACATATTCTCTGTGTTAATAATTTGCTCCCTAAGGCTAGTGCTGATAAGACCCGATTGCTTCCCAAACATTCATTCCGAAGAAGCATTATGAAACTTGATCGAGATAAGATCCCTCCACCAATCATCCCGCTCATGAACGAAACATCACCACCATTTACTCAAAAAGGGGCTGATTACGGAGTCTCAAATCTGAATCCCCGAACCCCCATATCTCTTCGGTGCCACCACATTCATCCAACGATTATGAGCGTTTTGGCCTGATTCGACGCCACAGAAGTTCTGCGAGCACGTTTTCACAAGAGGCGCCGAGCATCTACTACAAACTAGCTTGAGTATAGAAATGTAGTCAAGGAGTAACCTAGGAAAGTCCTACAAACAAAATGTCTCATTATTGTGTTTTGTTTAGCCTAATAAGTTAGGCTTAAACCATATCATCTCACATATGTTTCTTTTTCTGACCTAATAAACCATGTTAAATCGTTATTCACTCACATTCTTCTTCGAATTCGGTTGGGTGGTGGCATTTGAGTTGTGAGTTAACTCGAAAATGCAATTCTTCGACTAGTCATTATGTAAATTGACTAACATTTATAACAAACTACTTGCATATTAGGAAGATTGTATCAATACACCTCCCACTTTATCTCATTTGGATCCGTCTAATACTCGTAAGAAATCTTTCATTATTATGTAAACCAAATGTGTAGAGAAAATTGTTGTTTTATAAAATTTTGATACTATTAATGGTTTATAATTTGCATCTCATTATTTAGTGGACATTACACAACACAGTAACCAATAGTAATAGTCCAAAAATATTCATTGTTTTCCTTTTTAAAAGTCGATGATCATTGTGTATTGGGGTTAGAAAATATAATGACTATCAATAGTATAAACAGTACACAACTGTTTGCCATGCGAAAATGGGGTGCAGCAGTGTAGGTCATTCGGATAATCCGCAAACCACCCACCTAAATAAACTAGTAGGAATTTATCGATTCACAATCTACCCATATCAATCACTAAACCCACTGCGTTTTGAGTTATTTACAGGTGAATCGATATCAAATTACATATTAGCCATCCACGCGCACACCGTAAATTATAAATATAACAGTTTATCAAATTAATAAAGAACCACATGTGAATTAGATATACTCTGTATTAAAAGTTCAAAACTATGCAAGCAATAGTAATTATTTTCATTAATAAACATTAAAAAAATAAAAAATTATAAGTGATATCGATGTAAAGATTTAAACCATAGTAAATGGATTCAGAACTCTATTTTATTGTGCTTCATATAAACAATCAAAAAGTATTATAAGCTTCAGTATAAAAACACTATTTAGATTCTAGAAATATGTATAAATCAAAAGCATGTACAAATATAAAAAATCACCTAAAATTGAAAAGTAGATCACTTGCTCAAATGATAGGGTCCAAACTAGTTTATTCTTTGTTCTTCCTTCTTTTCTTTCTTTTTGTTTTGGAAATGAGAGGACACAAGACATGAATGCATGATTACTGGAACATTCTTGTCGGAAGAAGGAGCAAGCTCGCATTGGATCTTTTTCCACTTTAATCCATCGAAATGCAGGAAGCTAAGATCATTCTATACTCCCCTCAATTTGAAATCATGAAGAGAATATTTTCAGATCTTTTACATGGATGAGGGAAATCCGAAAGCTCAAATCTTTTTCTCTCCCTTTTCTAGGCTTATGCAATTAGGATAAAAAAAGAAAGAAAGCCTCGTTTTCATAATTTTCTGAATTGGGGATTTCATCTTAATTCAAGGAGCCCGATTCGTCATTATGAATTTCATCCACATATTTGCGACTATGGCAGAAAATCTGGAGAAATGTTTGTTGTAGTGAATAAGGCAGGACAAGCTGTTGTTGTAGACTTGTGAGTTGGGAGAGGGAGATATTGTTTGCAATGGGGAGGTTCCTCAGTGGATTTTTGTTGCCTATGTTGCTTCTATCAGGTTAGCCACTGGAAAGTGGAAACCTCGATTCCTTAACTATTTTCTCAGAAAGGCTCTTTTTCTTTCATGATTAGTAGTAAGGAGAAAATCAAACTGATGTGCTTCTTCTCTTGCCCAAATGCCTTTATCCAGCTGCATTGCTTAATTGGAGTTTGATTTCTATGGTGGATTTGTTAGGTTTTATCTTCATTCAGTATGCTGCACCAAAAATCGGTAAGTGTCAACCCACAATGATTCTATTGCCTATTCACACTTCAGATGTTACTCACTTCAACTACTCTACCTAATCTTTGTAATATTAACTCTTTTTTTATTATCTCTTGGAGTCTATAGGTATGCGATCAAGAAGACGATTGTTGATCTCATGGTACACCCTTTTGTTTTCCTCTGTGGCTGTTGTTTCGCTTGCCATTTTTCATATTGTCTGGGCTATCAAGGGGAATCAGTGGAGTACTGCAGATGCACAGTGCGCTAAGTTAATCGGTTTTTTAAGGTCGAGACCTGATTTTGGGACATGTTTTTATTCTAGATATTGAAAATATTGTAAGGGATAATTGCTAACAGAAATATGAAATGTCTTGCAGTGTTCATTCTCAAAGACTACCATATGTGATTTATTTCACAACCGTCCAAGTCCTAGTAGTAGTAATTGCCGTGGTTGAAATCTATGGGACTAGATGTTCTCCAGACTTATCGCAAGATTCATTTGTTGGTCATGGCTATTCTTTTATTCTACGCATAGGTTTGTTGTTGTTGTTCATATCATACTCCTTTGCTACTTAGTAATAAAGTCATTTTGGAATCAACAATGCCTAAAGAAACTAACACTTTGTCTACTTATTTTTTTGAATGGAAGGTTCTCATCTTAGAGTATTGTGCTGCTTACTACTACCTTTCGTACAGCTGATTGTTGGCATAAGCCACCCGTCTTGGGCTTCATTTCCATTTTTCATATTCAGCAGCATTGGACTAGTTAACTGGTCTCTAACAAGCAACTTTCTTGGTCTATTTAGGTAATAAATTTCTCTAATCTAGATTTTACAGTAGAATCATATTTAAAATCCTACATATGATTTATGCTAACTCATATTGATTGGAGGTGGTGGAGCTATCTTTTATTCTATGCAGGGCTGAACATTGTCCTTCTTTACATTTACCAACTTCCAATTCAGTTCCCATGGATGGTCTCTGTCGGTGACTTTATAGGTCTCTATAAAGTATCTTCACATTCAGAGTGGTCTGAAATATGCTCTGGTTATTCTCTCCTTCTCTTCTACACAATGGTGAGTCGTTGGGGTTTTCCAACCAAATCAATATTAAATAACCTCTTATCAAACTTTTTTTTCACTTGCTGTAATAGCTATTAAGCATTTTCCTACTTTTACAGCTTTCCTGGATTAGATGTGACCTTGCAGAAATGGACTTTATTATGTCCGGAAGAGATAATAGCTTGACGGTCCAACTTCTTACTCCAAAACATGCATTTCTCATTCGACAATTTCGGTGAGTTCTATTGATGGACTATGTGAAGTTTGAATTTCTCTGTTAAATCACATGTCACTACATTTTTCTGGTTTTCTGCAGATCGGGTGTAAGGCACACCAACTTTTTGTTGACAGGAGCAGTTTTCCGGACTTTCTGTGTCAACTTCTTCACTTATGGTTTCCCTGTAGGGATCTTTCACTGCCTTTACAATCTTTTATTTTCTTTCATCATTTTTTCCAACTTAGTTACATTTTTACTATTCCATCTTGACAGATTTCCTTGCTTGCATTGTCCTTCTGGAGTTTCCATTTTGCCAGTTTATGTGCATTTGCACTCCTGGCTTATGTTGGCTATGTGCTTTATGCCATTCCTTCGGTCTTTCAATTGCATCGGCTAAACGGCTTGCTTCTTGTATTCATTCTATTATGGGCTGCTAGCACCTATGTCTTCAACTTGACATTTTTGGTCCTCAACAAGCACATGTGGAAGGTCGGTTTTTTTATAAATATTATGCCTCTATTCATTATTATGATGTATTTACTTTATCAATACCCTTTTTTGTTGCAGGACATGGATATTTGGGAAACTATCGGTTTATGGCATTATCCTATCCCTGGATTTTATCTATTTGCACAATTTTGTCTAGGCGTCCTTGTTGCTTTAGGAAATTTAGTGAACAACTCAGTCTTTCAATACTTGTCTGATTTGGGTGTACAATATTCTAAGCAAGATGCCGATGTAGAAGGTAAGAATGAAAAATTAGCCTTCCGTTTAGACTTGTTTCATGTATTTGGGGAAAATTTTGCTTGGAGGTTAGATGATTGTGAGTTATGATTTTCACTTATGTTTCAGATAGAGATGAGACTAAAGTGCTAACTATAGCCACAGTGGCATGGTTACTACGTAAAACATCTCGAGCTATAGTCTTAATACTAATATTTCTTATTGCTCTAAGACCAGGTCTCATCCATGCCATTTATAGTAAGTTCTCTTCTCTATTTGTTATGTTTTTTCATATGTCACACTATTGGGCTTACTTTCATGATGCAGTTTTGACATTCTTGTTTCTTGTTTCATGGACCAGTGATTTTCTTCATGATATATCTTTTGAGCCATACAATAAGTAGGAAGATGCGGCAACTTCTAATTCTTCTATGTGAAGCTCATTTTGCATTAACTTACTTTCTTCAGCTTAATTTCATCTCAAATGCCTTGAAACAAAAGGATACATTAGCTACAGATCTTCTCAGAGAACTAGGTAGTGCACACTTTGCTCTTATCTATATAATGCTACCCATATATTATATTGTAAGTAAATATGACTATGGTGTATTTTTTTTTGAAGGTTTTCTTAGCAACTCTGATTCTAGGGATTTCCTAAAGATAGCATCACTTGCATGTTTTTGTGCTCTTCACAATCACGGCTTCGAAGTTCTATCAGCATTTTCGGCTATCGTACAACATACTCCTTGTCCTCCAATCGGCTTTAGTATCTTAAGAGCTGGTTTGGTTAAGTCTATTCTCTTATACGTATATACATCGAGGTCGAAACAGAGCAGCGATAACAACTCTTCTCATGGTATTACTCATTAAAGGTTGAATTTACTTAATGATACCGTTATTTTATGAGTTGAAATGGTAATATACTTGGATGAACTAACCTCAAGTTTCTTTGGCTTGGCTCTGCAGAAAAAATGATTGCTTCATATCTAACAGCTATAGGACAAAACTTCCGATCATTGTATCGTTCATGTGGGACCTATATTGCTCTTCTAACAATTCTCATTGCCGTCTACCGAGTCAAACCAAACCACACTTCATTTGGTTACCTTTTCTTCCTTATGGTATGGATGGTTTCAAGACAACTCTTAGGAAAGACCACAAGAAAGATGTGGTTACCTCTGAAAGTATATGCCATTTTTGTGTTCATCCTACTTTACACCTTGAGCGTATTTTTTAGCTTTCGAAAATGGTTATCACAAAGAGTCGACCTCTCTTCAGTTTTTGGCTACGATCCTAAAGCCTCCATGGTGGAAAATATATGGGAATCCCTTGCTGTGCTAGTGGTGATGCAGTTGTATAGCTATGAAAGGAGACAAATCAACAAGCAAGGGTATACCAATGTTGATGAAGAAACAAGTAGACAACCTTCTTTTTCATTGGTACAACGTTTACTCATTTGGCATGGGGAGAAAATACTAAACCTCTCTTTGTTCTATGCATCTCTATCACCGATAAGCGGATTTGGGTTTTTGTATCTTGTTGGAATGGTGGCTTGTTCAACTTTACCAAAGTCATCTTGGCTTCCCTCAAAGCTGTTTCTTGCATACTCCGGGTTTGTTTTGATGGTCGAGTATCTTTTCCAGCTATGGGGGCAACAGGTAAACATGTTCCCTGGACAAAGTAATTATCCTCTTTCTTTGTTTCTTGGGCTTCAAGTTTACATGCCTTGTTTCACAAGTTTGGAGTCAGGGATGAGAGGGAAAGTTTTGGTTATTGTATCATGCTTACTTAGGTACAACGTGTTCCATTGGTTGAGAAAATATCCATGCAAGTTTGGGAAGATGGGAAAATGGGATGAGTCTTGTCCATTGCTTTACTCATCTGAGGAGTATTATAGGACGAGATCAAGTCCAGTTAGTAGGGACAATGGGCTTTCAAAGTCGTTGTTGGAGAAGCAAAATGAAGTGGGAATTCAATCATGGGCATCTTTCATTATTGGGCTTTCTGATGCTGAAAATGAAGGGAGCAATATTAACGGAGAAGATTTCAATAATATAAGTGGGAGTTCAAAAGAAAGACATAAATGGACTCGAAAGCAGATTCATATGTTGAGACATGAGAGGCTCAAAATGCAGATAAGGACTCTAAAGGTGTATTTGAAGTTTTGGGTAGAGAACATCTTTAATCTGTTTGGCCTTGAGATCAATATGATAGCATTGCTTATTGCAAGCTTTGCAGTTCTTAATACGATATCTCTGCTCTACGTTGCATCATTGGCTGCTTTCATTCTCTTGCCTTGTCATTTAACAAGGAAACTTTGGCCTGTATTTGTGTTCCTATTTGGATCCGTGATCACTCTAGAGTACTTGGTCATTTGGTTTTTCCGATATGGGGAGCAATTTAATCCGGGAATCAGTCGAAAAGTTCCTTGCAATGATTGTTGGGAAAGCTCCGACCTATTTTTTGATCACTGCAAAAAGTGTTGGTCAGGTATGTTTCTCTTAAGGTTGAGTAAATGAGATTACTTCAGAATTTTTTTGTGACATGTCATCTTAATGTTGAGCCTAGCTTCTCTATGCAGGAATTATAGTTGACGACCCATGCATTCTAATAAGCTACTATGTAGTCTTCTTGCTGGCATGCTTCAAATTTCGTGCTGACCGTTTGTCCAGCTTGGCAGTATCCGAGAGCTATCAACAAATGATATGCCAATACAAGAGTTCTTCACTCAACGACCTCTCCTTCGAAACAAAATACCTATGGACATTCTTTGATTATCTTCGCCTATACAGCTACTGCCACTTGTTGGACCTCGTCCTCGCCTTAATCCTCATCACTGGGACCTTGGAATTTGATGTCCTCCACCTTGGATACCTTGGTTTTGCCTTAGTATTCTTCAGAATGAGACTTGAAATGCTTAAGAAAAAGAACAAGATATTCAAGTTCCTGAGAATGTACAACTTCGCCATAATTGTTCTCTCTCTTGCTTACCAATCGCCTTATGTGGGAAACTTCTGTGATGGAAAATGTGGGCTCATAGCCTACATAAGCAATGTGGTGGGGTTCTACAAGTACGATTATGGGTTTCGTATCACTTCGAGATCAGCTTTAGTCGAGATCATTATCTACATGCTAGTGTCCTTACAATCGTACATGTTCTCAGCTCCCGAGTTTGACTACGTGGCAAAGTACATTGAAGCTGAACAGATCGGCGCAAAAATTGAGGAGCAAGAAAAACGTGCTGCTTGGAAAACTGAGCAATTGCAGCAAATACGTAAAGCTGAAGAACAGAAGCGCCTACGTAATCTTCAAGTCGAGAAGATGAAATCTGAGATGCTCAACCTTCAAATTCAACTCCAACAAGGAGATACTTTCATTAGGACGGCAGGGAACTCATGTTCTCTCAACACAGATATCAATGATGACATGGAAGTCGATGGAAAGTTCCAAACTCCTCCGAGTGGATTTAACTTCAGCTCTGAAGTAATAATGTGCCCATTAGATGTAAGTGGGTCTCCTGTTAGTGAAAAAGCATCTGAAAGCCCAAACTGTGAAATCACCGAGGTGAAAGATACGAGTGTTGTTGCTGCTTACGGGTTTGCGGGATCATCATCACACAAAAGGGACAAGTTTCATGGAAATATGAAGCAAAACACTTTGATACATTTATTCAATGATGGAGTCTCTCAGGTTCAATCTTTAGGGAATATGGCTGTAAACAACCTCGTCCATCTGTTGAACATCAAAGAGGAAGAAGATGACTATGCCTCGGCTGATGATTCCTCTCAAGATGAGATGACTACAGAACCAAATCAGAATAACATCGGTACTACTTCAGAACACATGCAATGGACATTCTCCATGCAATCCGAGGGAGAGCAAACATCATGTCAACAAATCGGGATGATACTACGTTACATTTGGGGTCAGATGCGTTCAAACAACGACATTGTGTGCTACTGTTGCTTTGTTCTAGTTTTCTTATGGAACTTCAGCTTATTGTCAATGGCTTATCCTGCAGTTCTCTTTCTATATGCCCTTTTTGTCAACACAAGCCCGAGTAACATATTCTGGGTGATCATACTAATCTACACCGAGATGTGCATTTTGGCACAATACATATATCAAATCACCATCCAACGATGTGGGTTGACTTTTAATATGAGTTTGCTTCAGGAACTAGGATTCCCTAATCATAAGATCCTCTCTTCTTTCGTCCTAAGCAACTGGCCTCTATTTCTGGTCTACTTGTTCACACTATTGCAAACATCTATAACAGCTCGAGATGGCGAATGTGTTACAATGATTGCTGATCTCAACAATCAAAGGAGGAAAAGTAAAAGCCATTTAGGTGGAGTGGTGGTTCATGACAGCATGATCAATCCAGCTTCAAGGAGTTATCTCTCGGTAGAGCTTTGCTTCAGAAAGATGTTTTGGTTCTGGCAGTCGATAACTCAAGGCGCAGAAACTCCACCCTACTTTGTCCAGTTATCGATGAAAGTCGACACATGGCCAGAAGATGGGATCCAACTCGACAAGATGAAATTGGGAGTCAACAAGCTTTTGAAGATCGTTCATGACAAGAGGTGTCAGGAAAGGAGTCCAAATCACTTCCACTTGGCAAGCAAAGTTCGTTTGCAGAGTGTTGAGAGAAGTCCTGAAGACGAGAGTGTCGCGCTTGCTGTGTTCGAGGTGTTGTATGCATCACCATTGAAGACATGTGTGCGCCCAGAGTACCACAAGTCTCTTACTCCGGCTGCTGATGTTGCATCAGAGATATTAGAAGCTCAGCTGGTTGGTGCTTTTAAAGTGATAGAGTTCCCTTATCCAGTGATCTCAGTGATTGGTGGGGCGAAGAAACATATCGATCTTTACGCGTACATATTTTGTGCGGATTTGTCTGTGTTTTTCTTGGTTGCTATCTTTTATCAATCGGTTATGAAGAACAATAGTGAGTTCCTTGAAGTCTATCAGCTTGAGGATCAGTTTCCTGAAGATTTTGTATGTGTCTTGATGGTAATAGTACTCTCTTTTCATTTATCTAATGAGTTATTGCCGTAACTTATTTATGATTAGAATAATATCTAGAGGTTGGGGTTAACATATGAATCATGCATACACATTATACTAACTAATGTGGATAAATATCTTATTTGTAGAGCAAACTTCTCTGTTGCCCCCTTAATATTATATATATTTCAATCTCTAAAATTATTTTCATTTATGCAGGTGATTTTTTTCCTTATAGTACTCGATCGTGTCATATATCTATGCTCATTTGCCACGGGGAAACTCTTCTTTTACTTGTTTAACATCGTGCTCTTCACTTATGCTGTCACTAAGTATGCCTGGAAAATGGAGCCCCAACATAGTAATGCTGGAAGGTTAGCTCTACGAGCTATCTATCTGGCAAAGGCGATCTCTCTGACCCTTCAGGCCATACAAATACACCATGGAATCCCACATGAGAGTACTTTGTATAGACAGTTTTTGACAAGCAACATATCTAGGATTAACTACTTGGGTTTCCGAATCTATCGTGCTCTCCCTTTCCTATATGAACTACGATGTGTGCTCGATTGGTCATGCACTACCACCTCGTTGACCATGTATGACTGGTTGAAGGTATGTACATCCATTGCAATGTGTGCATACAAAAGCATAAGCTCATTCTTGGTAACTAATTGTAATGATATTTTTCATTAGTTGGAGGACATTCATGCAAGTTTGTTTCTCGTGAAATGTGATGCTGATCTCTATAGAGCAAAACATCAACAAGGGCATAAGCAGGCGAAGATGACCAAGTTTTGTAATGGGATATGCTTGTTCTTCATACTCATGTGTGTCATATGGGCTCCCATGCTGGTAAGAATCTCATACTTGCTTTGTTTTCTTAACCTACTAACTTGGAGTGTACTGCCTCAACAAGTTTAAGAAAATAGATAAGGGTAAAAGGGTTTAGGCTGGGATATAAATTCGTAGAAGTGGTGTGTTTCATGCCATTGAACTCTAACAAACTAATCACTCCACTTTACTTATCAATGAACTTATCACTAAAGTTAAAGTAAGTGATATAGTAGACACTATCCATCTTCATTCATTTTTCGTCTACATTTTTCATATAAACACGTCATCATATTACTTAGCAATAAAAAAACGCTCCTAATAAGTTCTTGAAGGTTTTTAGGTTGTGGTTTAAATGGTTAAATCCTTGATAGGTAATAGAACGATACTAGGTGCTTTTTTCCTAATTATTATTTTTGTTGAGTTGACATGTTGATGTGGATATATATGAACAAAGTGGCTCTTACACTATCGGATATTCGAACTTCGGTCAAAGTTGAGTGACCCCAGACTAAGTGACCATATCTATGTGATAACTCCTAAAGTCTCATAGTAGTAATTGGTTGTATATGAACATTTTCTAGCCTTCTTCACATGTATTGATGCAGTAATTTCTTTCCTCTATAGATGTATAGCAGCGGAAATCCAACAAACATCGCCAATCCAATCAAAGATGCCAACGTAATAATCGAGATACGGTCATTGAGTGGCAGGCTTACTTTGTATGAAACAACTCTATGTGAGAAGATCCCATGGGAGAAACATGACTCAAGCATCAACCTAGACCCTCAAGGATACTTGAGCTCGTATAACAAGCAAGATATTCAACTTATATGTTGCCAAGCCGATGCCAGTACATTATGGCGCGTCCCAGAAGTTGTGCAAGACAGATACACAAGGTCCCTTGGGCGTTCAATGGACATCATTTTCACTTGGAAATTCACGAGGGACAGACCAAGAGGAAAGGAAGCCGTGAGGTATGAGTTGGTTGTCCAGGACGAGGATCTCCCTTCTCACTCTGATGTCATGAAAGTTCTAAATGGTACCACCAACAGCTTCGGCATATACAATGTCTATCCTAGGTACTTTCGGGTCACTGGATCTGGAGATGTCCGATCACTTGAACAATCGGTATGTGGCTTCTTCATCTTCACTTTTTGAAAGAAAAGGTTCTTGCATTTGGCTCCTATATTATTGATGTTATATGCAGGTGGATATGGTGAGTGGAGATCTAGTTCTCAATCGAGAGAACTCAAATTGGTGGTCATTCCTTGATACGAGTGCATTAACGTCTGGATGTGGGAAGTTGACTGGGCCTATGGCTGTGATCATATCAGAAGAAACACCGCGTAAAGCTACTTATCTACTATGACCACTATAGTAGTAGTAGTTTGTATCTAAAGAGCAACTATACCACCAAATTAAGATCATGTTTGATGGTTTTTTGTAGAGGGGATTATAGGCGAGACGCTAAGCAAGTTCAGCATATGGGGATTGTACATTACCTTTGTCCTTGCTGTTGGTCGGTTCATCAGGCTGCAATGCTCTGATCTTAGAATGAGAATACCTTTCGAGAATCTTCCTTCTTGCGAGAGGTAAATAGATGGATGTCCTGGTCAACAATCTTTCATCTTGAACACGTACATTAATCAAATTTCATTTCCTTTTTGTTGCTGATGCAGGCTGTTGGCGATATGTGAGAATATTTATGCAGCGAGAGCGGAAGGAGAGCTAGAGGTGGAAGAGGTTCTTTACTGGACGTTGGTGAAGATTTTTCGGACACCACACATGTTGCTTGAGTATACCAACCCTGACTAGTTAGCTCTTTTTTAAACCTTAGAATGTGATAAATAAATTCTTCTCCATCTCGTTCTACTATACTATTTCCCACCAGCTGCCTAAAATGAGGTAGAAACAAAGACAAGATCACGACATTAGATTCAAAAGTCATATGTAGGTTGAGATTAATGGGATGAGGATCTTAGCAACTCTTTATCTGGCAATGCCTGCTGTATCTTTTCATGTTCCTTCTCCCAATCAGCAATGAAGGCGAAGCTTAGCAATGACATTTTCTGCAAAACTAGTTATTAGTTGAATGATGCACTTATAACAACGATTGTGCAATATATCCAAGTGATTAAAGATACATACAGAAAGTTTTAAGTAATTCTACCAAGATCCATGACTTGTTTAACTCCAAGGCTCAAGTTTACTTGGACATAGCCTCTCACTAGCATGCTTGGCTGATAGTAATAATGAAAGAACCGAGGCTCCACATGGCTTATGACTGCAACAAGATAGTCACAATATAATAGAGTAAAATGAGCATAATCAAGGTGATGGTGTCAAACACAATCGCAAGAAGGAAAAAAACACCGGATTTACATGGTATCATCAATGAGTATCGTTGAGACTAATCCACGAAGAGGAACAACCTCTCAGAGTCAATCGTGTTAACGGAGAGTCCTCGGGTTACAAAGAGGGCTATCACAATAATATATGCCCTAGCCTACCAACCCTATCTCACATAGTAATAGGCAATCAGAATAATTAAAGTCTAATTACAATTAACTACCTATTACTTCTAACACCCTCCCTCTAATTGATGGTGCTTACGCAACATCAATTTGTATGCCAGAAAACAATGGCGAGCAGCAGCTATAGCCTTCAGAGCATATCAGCAGTCTAGTCTTCATCAATTAACTACCTATTACTTCTAACAGATGGAAGAGAGGATAACGAACCAAGTGAACGAAACTTCCTTTAGCAACCCTCGTACTCATAGCTAGAGTCTTCGAGCGGGTATCAAAGTCGTCTAAATAGGCAAGACGCGTTTGAGAATGATCATTGCAGTGAAGTTTAGGAACTGAGCGCGGGGATGGTGATGAGATGTAAGACAGTGCCACCAAACTAAAAACGTCTTGTTGGATAGAGTAGAGCTAAAGAGGGACCAGAGGATTCAGATGAAGAAGATGCCACATCTGAAGACTCATGGAAAATAGGCTTGTGTGATGTGGAAGCGAACTTTGTGGCAGTAGGGTGTTTTGGCTCATCATCATGCAAGTGCCCAACGTCAATGGACTGTGATAGCATAAGCCGAGGGACCCACTCAAATGAGCTTGGTTAGTATCCTAAAAAATGAAAAGAGGTTTTATCGAACACCACGTCTTTTGTCAGTATTAAATGAGTGGCCAATTTATAGAGCCTACACCCTTGTTAATTTGGAGCATAGTTGAGAAACAAACAAGTGATGACGAGCTTCGAATTTGTCAAGGTTGGCATGTGTGTTCTTATCATACAGAAGGCAACCAAAAACGCATAGATTCTGATAACAAGTTGGCTGGCCAAAAATTATCTCATAAGATGTCTTCCCCATAGCTCTAGTAAGGAGGCGATAAAAGAAAAAAGTGGTTCTGAGGATACATATACCCCCAAAACTTTTTGGGAAAAATAGCCTACAAGAGAGAGCAAGCAGTCTCTAGGATGTGTATGTGATTTCGTTCAACATCAACTTTTTGTTAGGGCATATCGAGGGAGAATACCTTGCATACATGGGATGTGGGCTATCGAGGGCTTAACATCCAGTAGTGGTGAGTTCGTCAGCGGGCTTGACAGATTTAACTTGTTCCAATACTTTCTTCCTCTAAATTTAATGAAGAATATGCAGAATATGATTATATGGATTGAACGTATGTTAGAATGATATTGTCCATTCGCACATCTAATAATCTCAAGTCTTAATACATTATATCTAAAAGCTTATATCCTTGACCACACAATCTTACAATATTAGTTTACACTTTACATAGACACTATCGCTATAATCGGCACAATCAAGTTGATGATGTGTTCAACTAACTGATCATAGCTACTTAGTTTCATTCATCCCACATCTTTCTACATGTAAAATTGGCAAAACTCTTACTTTTTTTATCATATTGACTTTAATTTTATAAACAATACTACATATTTCACTATTAAAATTCCAAAAAAGAAACAAACCAAAGTTGAACAATCCTAGAGAGTGAGCAAACCAATGTATACACAATATACAATTATCTGATAAGGAAAAATCAAAATTACAAATAAAAACAAATAAAATTAATAATGACAAAGGTGTTTTCTCCACCTCTAAAGATTATGCACTTTATAGTAAAACTCTCACTCAACTAAAAGTCCCTCCTCAAAACAAAAACAGAATAACCATAAAAAATATATTTAATAATTAAATAACAATCTCAGGAAAAAAAACTCTAGCATTCCTTTTTTTCTCTTCTATCTTCCAATAGTCTTATACTTAATTAATTTCCTCTATAGTTGACGAAATTGTTGATTATCTTGACAAAAAAAAATCAAATTGCCTCACCTCGTTGTCACACAATGTTGCATCCACATTTGCATCTCTACAATGTGATAATAATGGTCGCCACAACCATTGTGACTCAACATATCGTAACACTGTCAGAATCCTCTCTGTTCACAGGAGAGTAACTCCATCTCTCTCCCATATTATGTTTTTCATTGCTTCTCCGTAATTTATCATTTTTAACCTCTTCCTTCGCCTCTAAACATGATGACCATGATTTCTCATCCTCGTTCTCTTCTGCATCTTCTTCGGGTGCCACACAATGCGACGCCATTTCCTCATAAGTTGCATGCATGATAGACCAATAATTACACATGTTTATACCTCCAGTCTTAAGCCGTTTGAGAGTCGATTCTCGAGTTTTAAGCCGATTTCACGCTAGGTTGTGTGTTTATCTCATATTTCCGGACTTGGCGTTGACGTGAAGGAGAGGAAACGAGTTTCGGGTCAAAAGGAGGACGTTTGAGTAGAAGGGCGCTGGAAGAGCAAAATACCAGGCCGGGTAAAATGCAATGGGAGGCCGGGGAAAGCTGATTTTGGACGCCAAGAAGCAGGAGGGGTCCCGGCCAGAGAGCCAAAATACCCGATCAGATATTCTAGACCTCGATCCGGTATTAACCCTGTACCGCTGCGCTGCGTTTCAAAATCCCCGGCCGGGCACCTGAAATACCCGATCGAGGATTACGACCGGGAATCGCGAACAGTTGGTTCTTAAGGGAAAGAAGACCAATTTTGCAAGGGTTCCGAGTTTTAGAGAGACAAAGCTGATACCTAAAGAGATAGAGTGACGAACCTGATTCTCCAAGCGTCCTAAATCATCTTCATCACCATTGGAGCGCGATTTGAGCTTGGAGAAATGTTGATTGAGTGCCAGAAGCAGAATCCCATCCTTCACAGTATGGTTTCCGCGTCTGAGCTAGATTTCCCGTCTCTCTCTGTTGAGTAACTATCTCATACACCTGGGTATGAAGAACCCTAGATTTGTATGTTAGGTCTGATTGTATGAACCCGAGTACGAATTCAGTGATATGATTATATTCAAATGAGGTTTGATTTCTTGAATGGCATGAATCCTGATCAAATTCCTGTTATTTCTGCTTTGACCTAGAAAGAGAATATATGCCTAGGTTGATAGAGCACCCTTGATTGAAGGTAGTGAATTGACGACTTTAGTCGAGGAGTCAATTCACTATTATGTACCGGATTTACTTTGGTAGAGGAGGTTTGGTTCGTTAGGGCCTCAATCTGTTTACTCCGGTGGAGGTTAGTTGCCCACTGGGGACTCAGATTGAGAGGGTCTAGAGACCTTTAGTCGAGACTGCAAACTGTTTAAAGAACCTCCCGCAGTATAACTATCATTGAACTTGAACTTGGTAAATTACAACCTGGCTTAACTGCAGTCTAGGGGGAACCATATCCGGGTGACCTCTCTCAACTTGAACACAACTTTCAGTGCTTTGCTTGCTAGTTTAACTAAATCTTCACTACACTTGAACCGCTAGATAACAAGACTTTCACGGAGTAGTCATCACACCTAGGACCCAGGTTGACATTTATAACTGAACCCGCTATACTACGCATTAGTAGGTGGTTGCACTTGGACACTTTCTAGTGTGACGGTAGAGTCGTGTCAAGTTTTTGGCGCCGTTGCCGGGGACGGCTAGGTTGTTGAATAAACGTGATTTCTGTTACTCTAGCATTTCCATTTCTGCATTAATTGTGTGCTTTTTCCCGCTTGTGCCTTCACGGGTTTGCTTGCTTGGCTATGTGCAGGTAGTGCTTGACCCGTAGCCAGTCGGGAGGTTTACTAGTGTTAGATCCGGAGCTAGAACGCACCTGTCGCCAACTAAGGAGACAACAACGAGCGAGACTGGCTAGGGAGGAAGTGCGCATCGACGGCCAGTTGAGCAGCGATTCTGAGGAGGAGTACGAAATGGACAGTGCGCATAACCCGCCCCAGGGGATGCCTCTCCATGTACCCCCAATGAATAAGATCCTGGGGAACAACCCAATCCCCCAGGCAGATGGGGCTCAACATCCACCACCGCCGCTAGGGCCTACTACGGAGTAGTACTACAGTCCACGGGTCGCCGACATCCGCCCCGTCATCCTCTATCCGCCCATTCCAACGAACAACTTTGAGATCAAGCCATGTTGGATTCAACTAATTACATCCTCTATCCAGTTCCATGTCTTGAAGGATGAGGAGGCGAGGGTGCATCTTTCCCGGTTCTTGCAACTAACAAATGGATTCAAGATGAATGGTGTACCCGATGATGCGATCCGTCTCCACCTTTTTGCCCATTCTCTGGCGGGGCATGCGAAGAGGTGGTTAGAGACCCAGCCCCCACTATCCATCACATCGTGGGATGACTTGGCCGACAAATTTGTGCACAGGTATTATCCGGCCTCGAAGACCACGGAGATTCAGCGGGAGATCACTCATTTCCGCCAGGAGCCAGATGAGGCCCTACGTGATGTCTGGGAGCGGTACTCGGGATTCTTCTGGCAATTGCCCCATCACGGCTTTAGTGATGCATTCACAGTGGGGAATTTCTACAACACTCTGACCCTAGAAAGCCAGAGGGTGATCGAGTCTCTATGCACAAAAGGGGATATTCTCACCAAGACTCCACCCGAGCTAAATCAGATGATCAGCACTCTGGCTGCCAGGGATCACTCTTGGGGGCAGAGCACCAGAAGTAGGAGTTCCCGGGACCAAGGAGTGCACGCCATGGAGGCCAAGTCCGGGCTAGAGCAGGAGGTGGCTGAGTTGGTGCAGACATTGAAGCAGCCCAATAGTCTTATTCCGGGCAAAGGACTGGTCGGGCCTCCAGTTGCTCAATGTCAGTGGTGTGTGAGCTCGAACCATCTGGTGGAAGACTGCCAGACTATGCGAGAGTCTTCTACACCTCAGGAGCAGTTGGACTTCATCGCCAATGCTCGGCGCCTTGATCCTTACAGTGGTACATATAATGAAGGGTGGCGCCAGCATCCCAACTTCTCCTTGAATAATAGCAACACCACTAAACCATCTGGTTGGGTGGATGGGTTGTCCATGCCTCCCGATGAGGATGAGGAAGATAATGATGAGGACGAGGAAGATGAGGACTACACCGGTGCAGATGAGGATGATGATGATGATGGCGGAGCCATGGATTCTGATAGACCATTGATTGCACATGTTTTTACCTCCATTCTTGAGCCGTTTGAGAGTTGATTCTTGTGTTTTAAGCTGATTTCACGCTAGGTTGTGTGCTTATGTCATATTTCAGGGCTTGGCGTTGACGTGAAGGCAAGGAAACGAGTTTCGGGTCAAAAGGAGGACGTTTGAGTTAAAAGGCGATGGAAGAGCAAAATACCCGACCATGAGTAATAATACCGGCCGGATAAACCGCTAAGAGAGGCCGGGGAAAATCAATTTTGGACGCCGAAAACAGGATGGGTTCCGGCCAGACAGCTCAAATACCCGATCGGGTATTCTGGACCTCGATCGGGTGTTAACCCTTTACCGCAGCGCTGTGTTTCAAAATCCCCGGCCGGGCACCTGAAATACCCGACCGGGTATTATGGCCGGGGATCACGAACAGCTGGGTGTTAAGGGAAAGAAGGCCAATTTTGCAAGGGTTTCGGGTTATAGAGAGACAAAGCTGATGCCTAGAGAGAGAAAGTGATGAACATGATTCTCCAAGCGTCCTATATCGATCTCCATCACCATTTCGGCTTGAGCTTGGAGAAGTGCTGATTGATTGCCAGAAGCAGAATCCCATCCTTCACATTATGGTTTCCGCATCTGAGCTTGATTTCCCATCTCTCTCTTTGGAGTAACTTTCTCATTCACCTGGGTATGAAGAACCCTAGATTTGTATGTTAGGTATGATTGTATGAACCCAAGTATGAATCCAGTGATATGATTATATTCAATTGAGGTTTGATTTCTTGAATGACATGAATCCTGATCAAATTCCTGTTATTTCTACTTTGACCTAGAAAGAGAATATATGCCTAGGTTATAGAGCACCCTTGATTGAAGGTAGCGAATTGACGACTTTGGTAGAGGAGGTTTGGTTCGTTAGGGCCTCAATCTGTTACTCCGGTGGAGGTTAGTCGCCCGCTGGGGACTTAGATTGAGAGGGTCTGGAGACCTTTAGTCGAGGCTGCAGACTGTTTAAGAACCTCCCATAGTATAACTATCATTGAACTTGAACTTGGTAAATTACAACCTGGCTTAACTGCAGTCTAGGGGGAACCATATCCGGGTGACCTCTCTCAACTTGAACACAACTTTCACTGCTTTGCTTGCTAGTTTAACTAAATCTTCACTACACTTGAACCGCTAGATAACAAGACTTTCACGGAGTAGTCATCACACCTAGGACTCGCGTTGACATTTATAACTGAACCCGCTATACTACGCATTAGTATGTGGTTGCACTTGGCCACTTTCTAGTGTGACGGTAGAGGCGTGTCAATGCAACTCTTCCGGATAACCCTTGTATACACCATTTTCAATGGTGCAATTATCACCATCATCGTTAGCGTTGATTTTTTTCAACCCGAAGGAGGAGCAATCACAAATGCCCATCTTCCCTCGATGCCCTAAGAATCTCAGGTCGATTGATTCTCACCTTCGTCAGCTCCAACCGCCCGTCCTTCCTCAAAGGACGGAGAAAGAAGTTTGGCTGCCCATTCTTGTTCAGCGATGAGATAGGCTGTGGAAACTTATTCACCTTCCTTGCCGCCCTTTGTCTTCCTCTCTGTAATCCTTTCCCTCCATCTCATGCTCGCATCTACAATTTTTCTACTGCTCCGTGTTGCCATCGAATAACCATTAGAACTAAGATTATTTTTGTTATTTCTATCATCATCGTCGATGCACTGATCATTGAAGCTCTCAAACCCGAGGCTCTCGGTGCAGGAGGTCAATCCATCGACAAATCGGCCTCCTCTATCATCGAGTTGTTCTATGAATGTAATGTCAATGATCGAACTCAGCGGCAGTGTCGTGGTCAGAATTTCTATTAGTGTGGGTCCGATGCAATAAAAAAAATTATATAGCATAAAATTTATTAATGTTTACAATTACCTATGACTGGTTTTCCTATTTTGAAAACACTCTAAAATACATTAATCATCCAAATTATCTAGAATGTCACTCTAGATATATTCTACCAAAAAATCATTCAACACTTCATCACTCATTCGACTTCTACCAAAAAACCACTCAACACTTCATCACTCATTCGACCTCGCAATGTGTTGTTCACATAGTTCGTTGCAGAAAATACTTTGTCAACACTTGTTGTGGGGACTGGTAGGTGGTAGCAACAACGCCAATTTCACAAGCCAATACACCAATGGAAATGGTCTGAACATCTTCGACACAACAACTAGTTCCCTAAAATGCGGAGCAATTCCCTTTAATTTAGTGAATCTCTTATTTTTCTTCACATCAAAGATATAACTATCCAATTGAGTATCGAGATATAAAATATCACCTTTAGAGAAATTCTTAGGATAAAAGGTAACAATTTACAATAGTTTTTCTTGTCAAAGTAAAAAAAACCCAACATCTGAATTTAAGCAGGTCAAACAACATAGCAATTCAGTGTTCACCTCATAAAGTAAGCAAAGATTTAAACTCTGTTATACTAATTAAACTATATGAGATCAGTGATTCAACATAAATTTTGTTGGTCAACAATTCAGCAATCATCATTGAAGCATAAAGGATTTAGTTTCATCTCCATGGGAATCATATATTGGTAATATTTTGTGTCCAAGGGTGGTGTCAGGGATCCACCCTTCTCCATGCTGCCTCTGCCCCTGCTCAACGGCGACGAAGGCGGAGGAGACTTGACTATGGAGGCAGATTCGATTACATTGGGAGGGCGGTGGATGTGGATTTTGCCAGTGGAGGTTATTAGCCCAAGACCTTTGTTGCATGGGGATGGTGATGGCATTGGCAGAGGAAGGAGGTATAAATTTGAGAGGACTCTGAGGAAGGAGTGAACACTCTTCTTGCAGAAAATTATTATCATGGTTATGATAATGAAGAAGGAAGGAGTGAACACTCTTCTTGATTTGACGAGAGTGATGAGAATTTTTTTAGGACTCTTTGGATGAAAGAAGAAGGAAATAAGGGAAGTAACAAAGAGGGTAATTTGGGAATTTAGAAGTTTGTTTGGGAGAGACAATGGTGGGGGAATGAAGATGAGGTGAGTGACTATTTTATTGGGTGATATAATAATGATAATAATAAAAATAAAAATTTTGATGATAAATTTATCAAATTTATTATGGTGGATGGCTCCTAAGATGGAGGAAGAGAAGTACTTTACTTAGTTTTGATGGAGAAGAAGGTCTTATTGTTCTTATGATTCCGCTCTTCAACTCAATATATTTAAGAGTAGAGGATGAGGGGTCTTCTATAATCTTCTGACAAAGGAATAATTATGAGGTGAGAAATAAGGAATAAAATTAGTGATAATTGGCTGAAATTTGATGTGATTAAATAAACATGAGGAGATCTAAAGAGAGAGCACATGGAGATTTTACCTTCATTAACTTTGTTCAAACTTGATTGAAAACAAAACAATCAAAAGCGACTTCGGCTTGCAATAATTGAGTTGTCAAATTATAATCCATAAAATGATGTTTGTTATATTAGTTGAGTTAGATTGTGATAATGCTCATAGGTGGATGGTATTCATCTTCAATTCTCTCGTTCGTCTAGTTTATCCACGCGTTTTATTTTGTTTTTGTTGTTATGTTGTGGTCTTTTATGAGTTCCTCTTTTGGATGATAAAACTACAATGTGGAATACTAAATTCGAGAAATTAGTTCAATTGAGAAAATGAGGCAGTTTTTATCATTTTCCCTCCTACTTTTATACATTGATATGTAGTGAATTTGATTGTGATGCATGAAGATTCAAACTTTACTTTTTAGAGAGATATTTTTTTCCTAAATATTCAAGCATAAAATTCATATTTTCACACAATTTTATCATTTATTCACATAAATTTATTTATATTCACGCATGTATATGCTTTTGCATGCAATCTCATCTATCAACCAGTCAATTCTTTTCACACAAACTTTTAATTCAGTTAACTGATCACACATTGTCATAAACCACTTATCGTTTCATAGTTACTCAAGTAAAAAGCAAATCTATATATTTTGACAAAGTTAAGGGAGCGAGACGAATCACAGTGAGATATACACATTTTCCAACTCTTATTCGATGGAGATATACTTATCCTAGTAATAGTTATGTATTACCAAGAATCATTTGGTTTTAATAATTCAAGTTGTTGAAACATATATTTACCATTACTTTCACACCCTCTCAAATGAAAACCAATAGAGTTGAAGTTTGTACAGGTCTGAATACCATGTGCTTAACATTGGAAGTCATCGACATTTGAACAACAAAGCTCTCGATCATGGAATGCTCTAATACCATGTAAAAAATCAACTAATTTCAACAACGCATTGTTGGGAGATGTTCAATCATGAATATTATACAATTCACTAACAAGTTAAGTAGAAGTATTCACTTATCAGAGTGTATATCAATCTAATGAAGTAGTGTTGGGAATTATGCAAACACAATTGGCTTCGTGAATTTCTTTAGCACCCCAAGTCCAAGGAGCATACTTAGTCGTTTGTTTCAACCCAAAAACTGTCCAATATCTTAGTTCAAAGTACATACCTTTATCACCCCATAATGTCTTACACACAAGAATGTAACAGTCATGACCTAGAGTATCGAGTACTGGGCTAGAAAGAATCAATCTAGCCTACTAACCCAAAGAGTCAATATGATCAACCAAGATCTTAAGTAGTTGAGGTCATCGAGTATAACATCGAGAATTTTGAGCCATGTGTTCGTTGAACACTAGAACAAATATCTTGAACGACATTCACTAAGGGACATTAGGTCGGACAAACATCAACGATCCAAAACTCAGGTTAGGCATTTGCTCAATTTAGTCGAAACCGAACTTACTCAAATTTGCCTTAAGAAAATGTATGGAAGTGCAATCATTTTGAACCAAGAATAATTTGGTTTGACATGTTTCGAACTAAATTCATGCTCAGTTTGATTTGATAAACCCAAACAATTGATCCCCTTAATAGTAACCCAAACCAAAATCTAAATTTTCATAATTATGTTTATTAGTATTGATGGGAAGTTGGGTTCGGTTTGTTCGATCTTTGATTCGGTCAATTTTGAACCAAACACAAGTTTTAATTGAGGCAATTATGATTTCCGAGACAATTGACACAAATTCCTCTCCTTCTCTAATTTTATCACTTGATTAAGAGTGCTCTAACGGACCATACTAACCCAACCACCTGAGAACCAAACTATTATTGACAATTTTTATGACCATTTGTTACATTATGAAAAGAAGTGTAACCATTTTGTTACAAAATAAAAAGTTTGTGCTCATACAATTTCAAAGTGAATTATTTGTTCACTGTCGAATTACAAAGTTGACAATTATGTAACCATCGGTCGCGTTCAAACTATTTTCAAACCCCACTTTAAATCAATTCAAGAGTTTTCAAATACCCAACTAATTGAACAAATGTTAACATTCAAAATAATAAAGTTAGATTATTAGAATTTATAACTAGTCTTTCTCTGACTAAGTCAGCTGGGAATTTCGATGAGGATTTCAAAATAATTTCTCCCTATTCAAAATAATCTTTTTGTCCGGAATACAAAATCCAAACCCCTATCTTATTCAATATAATTACCCTATCTTGTATTTTCTCTGGCTGCAGGTGGGAGTTTTCAGTTTTCACGTGTTAACCAAGTGTAGCCTGCCCAACTCTCATACCAAACCCTTATCTTATTCAAAATCTGTCTCTCCTCCCAGAAAATGGGTTCATAGAAGCCTGAATTTCTTCCAACGTTCTTCCTTTAGTCTCAGGGACCAGCTTCATCACAAACACCACTGTCACCCCACAAATCCCTGAGAACATGAAGAAAGTCCCTGCAAACAAATTACAATCAGTCAAGTTAAATATCCGATCAGAAGGGTTTTACCGCGCAAATTAAAAAAGTTCTAGGATTCAAACTGATAAGAAGAGAAGACTGAGAGATCACCTGATGAGCTCCAAACCATGAGGAAATTGAACGCATAGGAAACAATCCAAGACCCTAACCAGCTAATCAATGTCACTAGGCTCCCTGCTGACCCCTTCATGTTTATGGGAAATACCTGCCATGCCACCAATTCCAAATCATAATTACAGTTTTTGGACAAGGTTTGATCTTTTTGGTCTATTATTTGTATTACCCTACTCCACTGTTTATTATATTAGTACCTCAGACATTATGACCCATGGTATCCCTCCCATGCCTAGTGAAAATGACCCTGTATAGATCTGGTTCGCAGCAGCAGTAGGAAGCGAGTTAGGAAGGAAAAGAAGATGGGTTAATTACCTAAATAGGTCACAATCAGTCACTGATATATGGAAGCAATACAATTCGAAAAAATTTGACGGGGTGATTGTTACGTTTAGTATTCTAAACATTTAGCTCGTTTGGTTTTGATGATAGTTAAATAAATGCATTGTTATCAATGCATGCATAATAATATATATGTATATAAGAAAATTGATGTATTGTAGTTTAAATCGTTTGGTCTAGTATTTAACTAAGATATATTGCTTTCTGGGTGAAATATTACTTTACCCTTTGTTTTTAATATAAAAAAGCAAAACACTACAAAAACGTAGGGACATAATTGGAAGAAGAAAACACTCCAACAATCTCAAACAAACAATCTCACAAAAAATTTGAGATATTACTATCACTCATTTTGAGTGATAGTTTCCATCACATCAAGCAAACAATGCATGTATAGTTTGTACAGAAAATTAAAAAAAAAACAATGCTTTAGTCACATATTTGATAATCTGTGGGTTTGAAAGTTTTACCAGGACTCCGAAAAGGGCTAAAAATGGAGAGATGTTTGTCCATACTTGAAGGCCCTGATCATGAAGGGGATCAGAAGGTGTTATAGTAAGGAAGAGTAAAGGAAGTGTGACATTTGGAAGAGGTTTCAGTTAAGGTTTAGTGAAAAACCTGAAGCAGAAATGATAATGCTACAAGGAAACAACCCAAGCCTGTACCTGCTGCAGAAACCTGTGGGGACAACAAAAATATACCAGACGTAAACATTCAGCTTCAAGATGTCTACTTGATCTGATGATGCAACAGAAACTTTTGGAATGAAATCTTGCCATGAGAAGTGGCCTTCTTCCTGATATATCCATCAACACGACTCCTAATACTTGCATTGGTATCTAAAAGAAAAACGATCAGAAGATCAAGTTGAAGAACTCCAAAGTACACTTCGAAATGGTCAACAACATGCAGGGTCACTAAGCTTTGATATTTGACGGATCTTAATTAAAGTTTGAGATAACAAATATAATAGATAATACCTCCTCTCCGGCAAGTTTTTGCAAAAATCAACCAGATCAGAATATCAATTTCCCCATAACCAAATAGCTAGAGATGCCAAATAGGCATCCAATGAGCTATCCTATAAGGAAGGAAGAGATTGGCAAGGTTTCTAGTTTGAATTGAGTTGCGTAATGTGTTTTATCTGGATTAAGCATTCACTAAAATGGGTTGTCCATTTTAGCTAATTGGTGTCTATATACTCATTTGCTGTTAAGTTCGTGTTGACACATTAATTTGGATGACAAAATGCGATGGTGACAGCTGAAGTGATTGTTATGCTAGTTACTAACAATTTCAGTATCATGCTTGTTAGAAAGCAAACTTCAGAGACTGTTCTATCAGTGACCATATATGTACATGACCTCAGTTTAAAGGGACCAAGATCACTTACCTGAACAACGACCATTGCAATGGTTCCAACACTGCCAGAGAATCCTATAGAGGAGAAATGAACTCAGATTTCTTTTTTTTCCTGGAAGGCAGTTGATATATCTTAAGTCTGTAATGATTGCAGTATATATACCAGCTGATACAAATATGGAACTTGCATAGAAAGCAATGGCATTGACACCTCCTAATTGTTGAAGCACCATTAAACCAACTCCAACCTTCATAAGGATTTCAGTAATGGAAATGAAATTTTTTTATGTCAAAATAACTAAAAAGGTGATAGAAGAGTTGAAGGGTTGGGCTGGATAGTCTTACTATGAGAGAATGAGCATATTTCCACGGGAACAACTCAAACATGCTGCTGGATTCAGAAAGCCTCTCAACTATCTCAGTATAATCCTGGGAAACCATTATCCCAGTATTACTAAGTAAAATTCTCACTTTCCCATGAAAAGCTACTGAAGACGGTACAAAATGGTTGGAACTTTTACTCTTATCGCAGCTGCTTCATCAGATATATCAGAGTGTTTTCCTCTGAGAAGCTGTAAAGCAGCTTCACATTCTTTTCCTCTGCCAATTTTTGCCTGCAAGAGTTTAATAAGGAAGATTACAATCTTGAAGAAAGCCATTTTACAATTTCATGAATATTGTAAAAATGAGTGGAGGGAGGACTTACCAACCATCTAGGAGATTCAGGAATGAAGAACAGACCAAAGAGCTGAATAATGCATGGAACAGTTCCTGATCAAATTGATACCCCCCAAAAACAAAAGCTTTCTGTTTATTACCAAAACTAACATCAATGGAAATGCCACAAAATTTTGGTTAACATGGTTACCTATGATAGCTAAGATTCTCCATGACACGAAAGAGCCGATTAGGTAAGTGAAAGACACACCAAAGCAAATCATCAGCTGCAGAAAAATCCAGTGGGTCTGACTGAGGTGAAAAATTGCCTTTAAACAAAAAATTGGTCAATCAGTTGACTATGGTTAAGAAAGCATAAGGTTGCCTGGTGAACTGTTGTGAATGCTCCTCTTAGATTCTTTGGTGTGATCTCGGCTATGAATACAGGTACCTTCACTTGGATTGGCCCTAAAGTTAGAGTTCAGCATGTAGAATGATTCATTGAAGCTGGATTATGACTGGCAGTTTATCAACTGAAGACTTACCACATAGGAAAGAAGCCCCATTCCATAACCAACCAGCAGCCTCTCAGCATCTAGCCACCAAGAAACCTAAAAAAAGGTATAAAAATCTCAGTCCAGGGTAAAATGAACGATGGGAAATCAAGATGGAACTAAGGAATTGATTGCTGATTGAATTAACCTTGGCAAATGCTATTGCTAGCCAGCCTATGATGCAGAAAGCTTCTGAAAATCCCATTAACTGCCTCAAAGTAAAAAATTAAATAAGTTCAAAATTAAAAATTCTAGGTAAAAATGCAGGTATATCAATGGTATTGAAAACAAGGACATACACTCCTTCTACAAAAGTAATCAGCTATCCTCCCGCTCATTACTGCTCCAACCATAGCTCCAATTGTCAATACTGAACCAAATAGAGAGTACTGCATAAACCCATAAAGAAAGAAAGAAAAAAAATCATAAGCGAGAAAGTTACAAAAGCAAGAACAGAAAGCTAAGAACTTTATGGTTACCTGAGCCACAGACAGAGAAAGGTCATCCATGATTCCAGACTGAGTAGGGGATGAATAACCAATCTGTTTAATATATATATATATATATATAGACAGTATAAGAAAATTGAAAAACGATTCTGAAGTTCTGTTTCAGTTTGGAGATAGAACAAAAGAGAGGTGTCGACTCTGGGTTGATGATAATGAGAGGACTCACAGCTGTGCCAAAAACGTATGAACCTGAAACAGCTACCATGGTGCTAAGGACAAGTATGGTTGAAGCTGAAGAACATCCATCATTCTTCTGCCCTTCTTCTTCTCCTACTCCACCATTGCTGTGGCCTCTTGCTAGTAGTTGGGGGCTTTGTTTCTCTATAAGAGATTTTGAAATTTCTCCTTCTTCCATTGTTTTACTTTAGCTGCGCAGTTGTTCTGTTCTGTGGATGAGACGAGATGGAAAATGAAGAACTAGATGGCTACGGAAGGTAAAAGGATCAGGAAGGAAGACAATGGCCTTGGCTGCTGGGAGGGAAACTATAGGGACAAAAGTATTCGAAAGAGGACAAATGTGTGCTGACTGTGACATGGACCCACTTCTGTGGGGTTTGTTGTTTCCTTTGACATGCCTTGCAAGTAGGGCTGCAAATGAGCCAAGCCGCTCGCGAGCAACTCGGCGTTCGAATCGGAAAAAACTCGTTCGACACTCGACTTGTTATTTAACAAGCCGGCTCGCGAGCCAACTCGTTAGTTAACGAGCCAAGCCTGAGCTAGACCATGCTCAGCTTGATAAGCTCGCGAGCTAGCTTGATTCGGTTGCTTGTCGAGCTAAGCTCGCGAGCTGCCTTGTTTTGAGCTTGTGGAAGGATGAATTACTCTTTTAAACATGAACATTGTCTTATAATACAGATGTGTATGAAATTTAGATGTTATTTCTAGTTTCTAGTGTTCTTTCTATCATTTAAATTCTTATGTTTATACATTTTTCCAGCAAAAATGATTTTAAATCGAGCTCATCTTGAGCCGAGCTTGTACTCAGCTTAACAAGCTATGTTAATGAGCATTTATCGAGCTCTACCGAGTCGAGCTCGAGCTAGATTATTTTTATTCAAGCCGAGCTCGAGCTCGAGCTGGATTATCAAAATTCGAGTTCGAGCCGAGCTCGAGCTGAAAAATTAATAAACGAGCCGAGCTCAAGCTAAGCAAAAACTCGACTCGACTCGGCTCGTTTGCAGCCCTACTTGCAAGCCTACCATTTCTGCATTTAATTGTCTTATCAATACAGTTTGATTGAATCAATCTAAGAATGTAAATACCATTCAACTACTGCTATGTAGATGTGTTTCCTGCTCAATACAGTTTGCTCCCAAAATTAATTAAACACAGTGGATATCTATTTACAATGTAGACGCCTCAAACAATATTTGATTCCTTGTATTTTACAAATGAGAATAACGGATTGTGACAAGATCAAATTTTTATATTTCGGATAATTCAGTTATTTATGTTTTGAAGTTTGTAATAATATGATACAGAAGCATATATTAAAAAATGGACATAATTTCATAGTTACAAAACTTTTTACGTATCAAAAACTAATTCTAATTAATAATCACTTTGATCCTGTTTCTTCATGACTACATGATGTGAGTTATCGACGTCTGTAGTTCCTCCAGTGACCGACCTTTAGTCTCTGGCACAAACCTTGCAATAAACAAAATCCCGAGAATCCAGATCCCCGTGAATATAAAAAATGTACCTAACAGATCAAATAGACCATGAAACAAACCAGAAAGTGTGAAGTTAGCAAGAAATGAAAAAGAACCTCCAATTATGGGAAGATGATTAATCCATTTACAACCAAAAGCTCAATACCAGCTGAATTCCACAGCATAACAAAGTTGAAAGAGTATGTAACAATCCAAGATGATGACCAATTGAGAAATGTTACTAGGCTTCCAGCTGTGCCCTTTATGTTTATAGGAAACACCTGCCCAGCAGTAGAGGCAACAATAAAAACAAGTAAAGTCAATCTCGCCTGTTGAATTAAAGAGAGTTAACAAACCTAAGGAAATCTGTTTGCTTCATACCTCAGCCATTACAACTCCCGGCAACCCTGCCATTCCTAGTGAGAAAGCTATTGGAAGTCCCTGATAAAAGCACACCGTCATTTTTCTTTCATTCTAAAAGAAATCTTTCAATGGCTAGCTTTGTTAGACTTCCATTCAAGCTTACCAACATGCCGATACATGCCAAGAGGGCAACAATAGTCCCAGACTTGCCAAGTTCCTGAAAATGAAATGACAGATTGAAATGTCTATTTTTCTAAAATTATCTGAAGCAGTGTTAAGACGGAACTTCACCTGTAACAAGAATGCAAGTCCAAGCAAGAAGGTACTCAAGAACAACCCTAATGCAGATATCTAAAAACAGTTGAATCAATAAGATCAAACTTCCATAAGCCTGAACCAAGTATACAAGAATTTGAGTTGAAGAGACAAACCAGAAGAAGTGGTCGCCTTCCTAGTTTATCGGTTAGAAGGACAGATGTTATAGTAGCTGGAATCTGCATAGAGAGAGTGAGAGAGAACATGAAAATTTGATTGAATAAATGAATCAAGAACAAGGGATCAGACAACTCTGCATACCTGAATAATGGCAATTGATACCATCCCAAAAGTACCCGAAAGACCTACGACATAGATCAAGCATTTGCTTCATTCCTAATTCACAACCAAGAATGGATAGCAAGCAACCAAAACAGAAGAAGGATTTGAGCTCACCCGCCATTTCAAATATAGAAGCGGCATAATATGAAAATGCATTGGTTCCACCAAACTCTTGAAGCACCATTAGTCCAGCAACCACCTGGAAATGTAAGACAGAAAACCGTGTAAGAATCGATCCATTTACTAGACATAATGAAGCAAGAGAGAGTTTTGGTGAAGTTATAGCATATTTGATCCTGATTCTCACAATAAGTGCATCAGCATATTTGTGCTGGAACAGGTCTTGGATTCTGTTCTCTGAAAGGCTCTCAAAGAGCTTTGTGTGCTCCTACAAAACAAATTAGGAAGGAAATAACAATCAGTCAATTTCATATGAATACGCTTGTATAAATACTATTTGAGAAAAACCATGAAGTTGCAGACTTTAATTTCAAGTGCTTCTTGGGAAACATCATCAGCACTAGCATTTCCCCTTAGGTACTTGAGAGTTGCTTCTAGCTCTTTGTCTTTCCCCAGCTTTGCCTGTTGACATGATCCAAGCGAATCAACCATTCATATCAAAGAAAACCCTCAACAATCTATAATCTAGCAGAGATTTCTAGAGCTTACCAACCATCTTGGAGACTCTGGAATGAAGAATATACCCACAACATGCAGCAGACACGGAATATCACCTTTAGAAGCACAAAACCAGCAGAAGAGTTTAATAAGTGGGCAACCATTTGTTTGAGGTCCATTTTTGTTATGATCAAGTGCATGCAGAAGGTTGAAGAAAGATGTACCAACCAAGTAGAGCCAATGCTCGCCACGAGATGATCGTTCCCACCGCATAGGCTAGCGAAAAACCAAAGGTAATCATGAACTGCAACACCCCAATCCAATAGCAGAAGAACCATTGTTTAGAAAGTGGATACATTATTGTTAGAAGTGAGTCATAATTACCACATCACAGCAAAGATCATAGTCAATGGAAAGGACACAGTTATTAACATCTGAAAACTAACCTGATGAGTCAATGTAAATGTGCCACGAGTCTTCTCAGGTGTGATTTCTGCAATGTAAACAGGTACAACGTAGACAGTGATTCCAACTGCAATTCCTAGTACAAATCTTCCAAGGTCCAGCAACCATGGAACCTTTATTTGTGTGTTTTTGCAGCAAACACAATACAAAAACAAACGAAGACAACTCAAAGTTCAGCAGCGGACTTATTTTGCTAATAGAATTGGAAAAGATGTAAGAAGCTAAAGAGAGTACCTTGGCAAATGCTATTGTAGACCATGAAACTAGGAAGAACAATGCAGATACCCACATTGTCTGGCAAAAACGTGATTCATTCAGAGAGACTTAGTTATGGAGTATAACAATATTGTTGAAAATTTAGGGTTTTTGAGATTGAGAAACATACATATCTTCTGCCAATGATATCTGCCATCTTGCCATTGAATAATGAACCCAACATTCCTCCAAGTGTCATGATTGAGCCAAAAGTTGAGTACTGATAAACAAATTATGCAAAGGGAACTCATTAGTTTTGTCTAAGAACTTTCATCAAGAGGAAATGACATAGATGAATGATGAAGAAGGGAGCAGAGTTATGAGAAGGGGTTGATTTACTTGTGCAACAGACATTCCCATCTCAGCCATGATTCCTGACTCTACTGGCGATGAGTATCCATACTACAGTCAGGATAATAAATGTTTAACCTCTCATTTACTAGAAAATGTCATGCAAAGTTGCAAACTAGAAGGTGAGTTAGTAAGTTTCAAGAGTTTGACTGTAGGTGTTGGCTTCTTTCTATTGCATGTTTCACACTTAAGATCAATAGATCATATAACTTAGAAGAAAAAATAAACAGAAAGCGCATTATAAAAAAGGAATTAGTAAGGTTCACCCCCAATTTTTTAATGTCTGAAGCCAGTTAAGCTGATTGAATATGATTGAATTTCAGTTTAATGCTACATATACGATGGTTTTCTAATCAATCATCAATCAATTAAAACTGTAAGTATTCGGCACTATTCCTTACGATTTTATCGGTAAGTACAGGGGTTACTGTTAATTGGAGTTTTATTTCCTGTGGACGCATTTATAGCATCTCCTACTTTCCTCAATTGATAACAACCAACCCAATATAATATGGATTAAATAAAGCTAATATATTATGAATATATTATTTAAGAATTATAAAGGGTAGTTATTTCTTAAGTATCACTTAAACAAATGTATTACATAAGTCGTCTGTAATGATTATGAAACTACATAAAAATTATCAAGATATCTGTACTTGAACTATTTTGTGAATCATTTGATTTCAAAGTAATCATTGAATGAGTAAAGGAGTAGACCAAATTTTAGATATAATCAGTTTCTTATTGTCGCGAAGCGAGCCAAAAAAACAGTTTCTATTATAGGTGTCAAAACAGAACACGACCAGAATAACCCGCCCGATCAACCCGACCTGCAACCCAACCGCAACCCGAATTGACTAAAAGTCAACAACCCGTAACCCGCCCGACCCGCAACCCGATTAACCCGCAACCCGACTAACCCGCAACCCGATTAATCCGAACCTGATTGACCCGAACCCGATTAAACCCGCAACCCAATTAACTCGAACCCGATTGACCCGAACCCGACTAACTCGTAACCTGATCGACTCAACCCGAACTTCACCTACTCCACTTGAAAAATTATTATATTATATAATAAATAGTTTTTCAAAATAAAGTTTTGCATCCTAAACTTAGGTACAATTTTTTTTTCATTTCGTATAGTGTAATTTAAAAACCATGAAACTCACTTGATATTATATATTTTAAAAAAATTGAAACATGAAGGTCATTTGAACACTAAGTTCTTTAAAAAAATTAAAAAGTAAATATGACATATAAAATCAGCACAATGTCAATATTAACAATGAAGAATTAATAATTGAGATCATGGATAATATTAATATAAGATATAAATTAAAATTTTGGTTAATTTAACTATTCAATAAAGTTATTAATTAAATATAAATAAAGTAAAGTAATGTATTTGGTAATTTGATGTTTTATTTAAATTAAATGCGAAAGGACAATAAGGTAAAATTGCACCTAGCTCTATTTATTGGTAACGCTGACTTTTGACCGGACCACATCAGCGCCTTCTCTCTCTCTGCGAAAACCCTTTAATTTTCCTTCTCATAATCTTTAACGGACGATTTCTCACTTGTTTTAAGTCGGAATTTAATTTTTTTGCACAGTTAGATCAGATTAATTGTGCTCTTTAAAATGATATCCACTTTGATATTTTTTGGACATAAAAAAATTTGTCAGTTATTACCAGTCTATACCATATGGTATTGACTGGTATTGACCATACCATATGGTATGAAAAAATTTGCCTCATTAATATATATTACGTTACCACTCAATACCATATGGTATAGTGTGGTAATATCAATATATATTTCGTTACCACCCAATACCATATGGTATAGTGTGGTAATATCAATATATATTTCGTAACCACCCAATACCATATGGTATAGTGTGGTAATATCACACAATACCATACAATACCATATGGTATAGTGTTTTAATATCAATATATAATTCGTTACCTCATAATACCATACATTACCATATGGTATAGTGTGGTAATATCAATATATATTTCGTTACCACCAAATACCATATGGTATAAAGTTATAATATCAATATATATTATCTAAAAGAAAAAAAAAACAGAAGGAGGTAGAGAAAAAAATCGTCTTGTGTCGCCTCTCATTTCTTCTTTCGCAATCAAGAACATCAAAATGCCGAAAAAATGAGAAAGATCGAAATTGAGGCCAACGAGATGATGAAGAGAAGAAATGCAATGAAAAAGAGTGGCTGCAATTTTTATTCGTCATGGAAAAAAATAAAGAAGAAGAGAAGAGAGCAGATTTAGATCTAGAAACGAGATTGAGAGAGAAAAAGGAAGAGAGAAGGAAGAGAGAATCTGGAAAAGAGATTGGGAGAGAAAAAGGAAGAGAGAAGGAAGATAGAAAGCTGCAGAGAAGTGATTTCTCTTTCCTTCTTTAAAAATGCAGCCATTAAATACGAAATAAAATAAAGAATTTAATGTATAAACGGACAAAAATACCATTCCTCCACTCAGCGTCCGGCCTAACCACTCGATTGCCTGCCTCTTAAATCTATGGTCCCTATTTATTATTGACATGTCAGTAACCACTTGGTTACTTACCCTATCTGCTGCCAAATTTTGGTGCATTCAATTTTTGGAAAAAGAAAGAATAGGGAAATTTAGTTTTTATAATTTTTTTAGAAAAGAAACAAGGGGTGATTTTGGTGGTTTTGATTTGTGAAAAGAGAAAGAAGTGGGAAAGTTTGATTCTTTTATTATGAAAGAGAAATAAGGAGGGAAACTTTGAGTTTTCAACTTTTTGTGGAAGAAGGAGGGAAAAGGAAAATTTGGTTCTTCAATTTTATGGAAAAGAAAGAAGAGGGAAAATTGAGTGTTTCTAATTTATGGAAAGAGAATGAAGGAGGAGAATTATGGTATTTGTTTTGTGAAAAGGAAGAAGGAGACAAATTTGGTGTTTTCAATTTTGGTTTTTCAAAATTTTAGCCTTTGAAATATGAATTTTTAATTTTTATATGGAGAGCATGACTAATTTTCAAATATATATGTGTAATGGTTTATGGTCTAATAACGATATTAAATATTAGTTACAACAATAATTATTTTGAGAAAAATTCATTTAATTTGTCTACTTGTTTTCTATGCTTCTACATTTATCGTAACTTCAACACTACATGATTGTTATTTTACAACACTTAGTAATATTTTGGCACATTTAAGTTGTGTTTGAGTTGAACTTTTATTTCAAAATGGGGGTTAAACTTGGCCTGTTAAGTCATACGATTGCAATAACTCAATCAAGGTGCGGGTTTGAAAATTTTGGTTAATCGGGCTGCGGGTAAGTTTGGAATGGAAAATGAGAGGGAGGTTTGGGTGGGAGCTTTGGAATAGAAAATTTATGGGCGAGTGGATATGAGCCATCAATTATACTAAACTTGATAAGTAATCTTTGACGGTTCGTTGTTTAGGGTATAAAGTATATGGTTAGGGTATAGGGTATAAGGTACAGATGGTTTAGAGAGTATATGGTTAGGGTATAGGCCATAGGGTATGTGGTTAGTGTATAATGTATTGATGGTTTAGGGTATACGATCATTAACATATACTAACTTAATATTGTCGATTGAGGGTAATGCTAAGTATAGGATATATGTTATTGAGTAAGTTATTATCGAAGTCAAAACAGTTTTACTAAATTTGATAGTTAATCTTTAATGGTTCAATTTTTAGGGTAATTCGAATAATTTTACAAATAACTCGTTTGGCAACAGTTTACTGAAGTTATTTGATCAATGAGTTATTCCGAAATAACTCCTTACAACTCTACTTTTGCCAAATACCACACGCCAAATACCAGATTTGCATAGTTATACTAAACGAGATACTTTAATCCATTTACTACTGAAATAATACTAAAATACCAAATAAACAATTAATGGTGCCTTTTAGTTGCAAATGTTGATATCACCATTACTGTTAGCTAGTGTACTTTACCAATTACGATTAATTACATAACAATTTGCAAGTCATACAAATTGATTCAACATTTTGACTTGTTTTTTTTAATTAAGTATATATACGAGGTAGAAAGAAATTGGTTGATAATTGAGAAAAATATTTTATATTAGTGTAATAAAATGTGTAAGTTGGTAACGAGTAAGTAGTAAGTTACTCGATGCGCTGATCCGAACAACCCGTAACCCGATCCGCCCGCAACCTGCTCGACCCGAAACCTGATGGACCCGAACCCGATGCCCGCAACCCGATTGAACCCGAACCCGCAACCCAACTAACCCGCAAACCCGTTTGAACCTTAACCCGATGAACCCGAACCCGATAAACCGGCAACCCGACGAACCCGAAACCCAACTAACCCGCAACCCGATTGAACCCAGCCCGAACCCGCCCAATTGACACGAATAAGAAACTAATGATTACTCATTTTCCGAACAACAGATTATGCTTTAAATTGACCCAACACGCTCAGAGAAACAACTCAACAAGAGTTAGTGATCATTAGGCCCAATACAGTCATTGAAACGAAGAGAATATTGGGCCTACTTAAAGTCCATATTCATACTTAAGTACCAATTTGAGAGCCCATTACTTCAATCATCATGTCATGAGGTTGTTTTCCATTCAAAATAATAATACAAAATTAATAAGTAAACAGTTGTTTGTGTCTTTGTGATATTTGATAGAAGAGGAATGTCAAACACTTGAAAGCATAATCAACACATCAAGTAAAGCTCAATCAATCAACTGAAGTGGATTGATTACTTGCACCACTGAAACTGCACTCCAAAAAAAGAAAGAAGAAAAAAAAAAGCTCAAATCAAGTTTCTTATTTTTTCGGGTTAAAGACACATTTGGTCACTGAGATTACAAAATCGGGACATGTATAGTCACTAGAAAAAATTAATATCAAATTTGGTCACTATAATTACTAAAACTGGACACATTTAGTCACTCGCCGTTAGTCTCCGTCCAACTCCGTTAATGAAGTCCGTTAAGTGATGATGTGGCAAACAGAATTGCCTAATCAGCCGGATATAACCCAACAAAAATAAAACCCGACCCGCCACGTCATTTAAACCAACCCAACCCCTGACCCAACTCCACCCAACCCTTCTTCCTCGCCTCCTCCCCGGCATCCGCCGCCGCCGCCAAAGCCTTCCTCCTCCCGCCGGTCTCAATCGCCTCCGCCTCCTCACTCTCCTCCCTCAAAACCCTCCCGCTCCGACTGACCTCCAGATCCAGACGATTCTACCCCACCAGATCCACCGCCGCCGCGGTACCCTCAATCTCCGCCTCGATCTCCGTCTGCGACAAGCTCCCCGACGCCACGCTCTCCTACCTCGACGCCGACGACGAGGTCCAGACCGTCACGATCTCGTCCCTCACCACGGGGAAGAAGGCCATCCTCTTCGCCGTCCTCGGAGCTTTCACCCCGACCTGCTCGCAGAAGCACGTCCCGGGGTTCGTGGAGAAGGCGGCGGAGCTAAAATCGAAGGGAGTCGACACAATCGCCTGCGTCTCGGTGAACGACGTGTTCGTGATGAAGGTGTGGAAGGAGAATTTGGGGATTAAGGACGACGCCGGCTTGCTGCTGCTCTCCGACGGGAATGGAGATTTCACCAGGGCGTTGGGGGTGGAGCTGGATCTGAGCGATAAGCCGGTTGGCCTCGGGGTTAGGTCGAGGAGGTATGCGCTGCTGGCGGAGGACGGCGTCGTGAAGGTGATGAATCTGGAGGAAGGCGGCGCGTTCACTTTCAGCAGCGCCGAGGATATGGGTTGGGTTGGGTTGGTTTTAATGATGTGGCGGGTTCTAATGACGTGGCGGGTCGGGTTTTATTTTTGTTGGGTTATATCCGGCTGATTAGGCAATTCTGTTTGCCACATCATCAGTTAACGAACTTCATTAACGGAGTTGGACGGAGACTAACGGCGAGTGACTAAATGTGTCCAGTTTTAGTAATTATAGTGACCAAATTTGATATTAATTTTTTCTAGTGACTGAACATGTCCCGATTTTGTAATCTCAGTGACCAAATGTGTCTTTAACCCTTATTTTTTCTCTGGAGTTCAGAACTCGGTACGACCAACAATGACTTTTACAATACTATAATATTGAGATATCGGTGCAAATTATTCGAGTCGCCTATAAATCTGTACAATTCCATGACAAATTATTAATTCCACAAATAAATTAAACTCAATTAGATGTGACGAGCTCAGATACAAATGGGGGGAATTAACATGGTAATACGTGGAACTGATTTCAAATACACAATCTCTTTGTGTTAGCATCACAAAGGTACCTGATTAAGATTTAGGCACTGCTTTAATTTTCTTATTGGAGCCTTAGATTGGGTCTATTTTTATAAAGGCGTGCACTAAACCGCAAAGACCCATAGCTGGGCGTCCAATTATTAAATCATGGACTCTGTTTTGGAGGAATTTCATGTGGCCCCTCGTTTTCCTTGCTTTACGCTTGAGTCATTCAAAATGGATGTCAACATAATTTCTAATCTTAAGGGAAAATGATGCGCTTTGTTTATTTTGTTAAAAAATAATTATTGTAAGTGTGTGCGGAATTTGATTTTCGTAATTAACTTTTGTTGATTATGTAAACTGATATTTTGTTAATTTTGTTAATTCCGATGAGCGTATGAAAAAAAGAGATAAATTACGGTGATTAAAACGATGAACTTACTCGTCATATTGTGCTTTAAAAA